TCAAAACGATTTTCTATGAGACTAACCTTACTTCTAGATAGGTTAGTTTACCTAGGTATCGTTATTAAGTAAATAATTTCATAAAAGTAAATAATTGTTTATATCCCTAGTCTATATTATTATTAACCATTTTCAACTATTTTTTTCTTTAAATAATCAAGTAGGAAATAAATTGGAGAGAAAAAAAAGTGGAAACTTCACACAAGTAATGATCATTAATGATTGAACGTTTAAGGGTCAAAAGATCAAAGCGATCGCGGGCAATCTTGGAACTGCTTGTGACGTTCATTCAGAATTACCGTGTAGGGTCTGCTTATTGTATAAAACGGTAAGATATCATGAAAAGGGTTAATTCTATTCAATGTACAGACAAAACCTTCGTTTTATTTATATAGATGTTCCTTAACATATGTTTATTATTAACATTTATTATGAACATTAACCTAGATCTAGACAAATTACTAAAGAATTCATAACTTTGGTTATACTCAATATTTTGTTTTCATTTAAAGCCTATGTTTAAGTCAAGCAAACTTTAATATAAAGTTAAAATTTCAAAATTCTACAATAAGCCATTGCTGAGCTTACCTCTGACAAAATTTCTTGCAAATTTCGTTAATACAGACAAAATTTTTTTTTAAAAGTGGATTTGATGTCTGCTATGTATGAAACGGAAAGATATCATAAAACGGGTTGATTATATTCAATGTACAGACAAAATCTTTATTTTATTTATATAGATTAGTATAACCAATATACTTTTGCATTTAACTTCACTAATTTTTCATTCGAGCTTATTTAGGTTTCTCTTATCTAAAAAATTACAGTGATATCACTATAGCAATAAGCTAATAAGTAACTGTGAGACTCTTGCGCAAGACCAAGACGATGAACAAGACTGAGTTCGCAAGACCAAGACTCTTTTCGGTCTCGCATTTGGGCAACACTAATTGTGAAGATTGTTTTTACAAGGTTGAGGTTATTGCAACACCTCTAAGCATATAATCATAATGAACTCCGTGTATACATTTGCTAGGTGTTTATATATACTCATATAACATAAACTGGAGTGCATATCTTTTATAATCATTAAAAAAACGTCTTCTCATTAAAAAATAATTATTAGCTACTATACGTTATCTGTATCTCGGAGCAACGGATGCACAAGATTCTAAACAAGGGAGGCGGAAATAAAACGACTTCTTAACAAGTAATAAAGATGGCAGTAAACTTTACAAGTGAAGGAATAATAAAATTTAATTTCATTTACCTCATTTATTGCTTTGATTATTGTAATATATTCGCGGATGAGTGTTAATAATAAAAGGATAACAATAAATGCTCCAGCAAATTGTTTCATCACAAACTTTATTTTTCGTGTCAATCCATATCACATAATTCAGGTATTCAAGACTATTTAAAATCTATCGTCTCTAATCTTAAAGATAAACAAAAACATATTTCATTTACATTTGTTCCATCTTTATTAGCCTTGCAACATGTTATTCTAAATAACATCAACACTTTACAAGAAATTAATTTCCATAAATTTATAAAAACAAAAACAAAATTTTTACCGATTACTGTAATGTTAATGACACACTAAGTAAATATTTCTTGTATTTGGCAATTACCGTCATATTACAATTTTGCTGTTGTTTTTTTTTACTAAAATGTTCAAAACAACTTACAGAATAATATTCCGTGGTACAGATCCCTTTTTATCGAATTATTAACATCCGCCTGAAACTTCATGATACAAAAATATCGTATATAATTAGTAAATATACATAGTAACTACGTATATTAAAAAAATGAACTTTATTTAAACAGAGTTTAGTTTAACAGCTTAAAATTTCTTAAAAAATGGTTTTATCAAATATGAATTTTATTTATTACAAGACACTAGACAATGGCATCATGTTACCATACAAATACAAATTTCTGTCTGTATGATAATACAAATTGTCTGAATTTTTTTTGAGCTCTTGAAATCTGCTATCATCTCAATGTATACCTTAAATCGTAATATCGTGTATCGTAATACCTTGTATCGTAATATGTGAATACTGTGTAATAGCGGGTCAATTTAGGGAGTTCCTATTAACATAAGGTAATTTATAATACCTGTACAGACAGCGAGTAACTTGAATCTAGAGTAGGTGAATGCAGTGTTGAAATATAGAACTGTGGATAAAGGTATAGATTTTCCAACTAGAAATATCACTAAAATTAATAATAAAAATGTTGAAATTGGATTTAGTCATTCTGTGAAATGAAAGGCCAAAATATAAAACTTAATATTTAAAGTATATGACATTCTATAGCAATGTAGGTAATGCTTGCTAGGAAAGCACTATGGTGACCGAACGAAATGAAAATATTCGAAAGGAAAATCAAAAACACTTAAAAAAATCGAAACACAGTGGCCTAATCTTAAAATGTAAGTCGTTTTAAAAACTAAGGCTCCGGCATCATAAAAGTAGACCTTTAAATTGGATAAATTCGAAAAACTTGAATAAGCCGAAACGCAGTGGCGTAATCTTAAATTCGAGGTCATTTTCATAATCTACGACTCCGGAATCATAAGAATACACTCTTTTTTGATAAAAATTCGAAACACTTAAAGAAATCGAAATGCGGTGGCTTAATCTTAAAATGGAGGTCGTTTTCAAAACCTACGGCTCCGGAAACATAAGAATACATCCTCATATGAAAAAAATCCAAAAAAACTCAAAGAAATCGAAACTCAGTGGCCTAATCTTAAAATGAAGGTCGTTTTCCAAATATACGGCTCCGGAAACATAAGAATACTCCCTCATATGAAAAAAATCCGAAAAACTCAAATAAGTCGAAACGCGGTGGCCTAATCTTAAAATGGAGGTCGTTCTTAAAATCTACGGTTCCGGAAACATAAAAGTAGACCTTTATATTGGATAAATTCTAAAAACTTAAATAAGTCAAAACACAGTGGCGTAAACATAAAATGGATGTCATTTTCAAAATTTACTGATCGGGAAACATAAAAATACACCTTTATATCGAATAAGTAAAAAAAACTTAAATGATTCGAAACGCAGTCACGTAATCTTAAAATGGAGGTTATTTTCAAAACTAGGTACTGGCAGCATAATACTAGTCCCTAATAAATCCGAATAGGTACAATAAATCGATATCCGTAAGTGAAAATTCTACTTAGGATAGCATAATAATAGACTTTCATATTGGAGTGGGGGAGGGGATGGCCATTATTTTAAAAAAATATATAAAATTTACAAAAAATTAAAACATTAATTTGAAATGAAAACGGTTGAATTTGAATTGGAAAAGGTTTAATTTGAAATGGAAATGGTTGAATTTGACTTGGAAAAAGTTTAATTTGATCTGGAAAAGGTTGAATTTGACTTGGAAATAATTGAATATGACATAGAAATATCACACTGAAAAAATCTAAAATGTTAAAATAAATGGATATAAAACCGCGTTATCAAAATTTTTTTTGTATTTTTCAAAAGCTATGCCTTCCATAATATAGTAAGTGGCCTTCATTTCCAAAAAAATCGAAAATTGACAAAAATTTGAAAGTTGAATTTGAAATGGAAAAGGTTGAATTTGACTTGGAAAAGGTTGAATTTGAAATGGAAAAGGTTTAATTTTACTTGGAAAAGGTTGAATTTGATTAGGAAAAGGTTGAAATTGACTTGGAAATGCTATATTATCTATTTCAAAATAACACTACAATAAATTATTTTTTATGTTATGAATGGAAAAATCCAAACAACAAAGCCAAGCGTCTCTTACATACAAGTGAACAGTGAACTTGCTAAGGTTTCGCCAATTCATGCCAGAAAAACCAAGATCACATATATGGAGAAAGAAAAAACCAAACAAAAAAAAATTATTACTGCAGACATCCCACGAAGCCATCTAAATACATACTCATATTTTTAATATATATTTGGATGGCTTCGTGGGATGTCTGCAGCAATCAGTTTTTTATTCTCTTTTTTTTATTTCTGCGTATATGTGATCTTGGTTTTTCTGGCATGAATTGGCGAAACCTTAGGAAGTTCACTGTTCACTTGTACGTGGCTTTCTTGTTTGGATTTTTCCATTTATAACAAAAAAATAATTTATTGTGCGATTAATCGAGATTTTATAATCGATTCAGATAGATGATGATCACGATGAACGATATGTACGAAAAGTACGAACCAATTCAGTTTTTTGAAAAAATAAAATTATAATTTCCATAAAGAAATACATTAAAAAACTTTTTTCATAGAAAGAATACTATATTAAAAATAGCTGATAGATACAGTTCCAGTAGTAGTTTGGATTTTTTCATTTATAGCATATTCACCTTAAGTCTCTTTTATAGCTTTATGCTTAATTTAGTATTATTTTTTATGTTCCGAAAATCTCTTTGTGGTTTTTACTACTTTGATCCTTTCATTAAGTTTTATACTTGACATAAAAATTTATTTAAACTTTATAAATTATTGTATTATTATCATAAGTTATAGTACAGTGTTCAATTTTCTAAATTGTCACGTTGTGTTTCAACTATAATATATTATTTTTTCATAGGTTTCCTAGTTTTAAATGAAATATGAGTATTAATAATGAAAATAATGGCTTAAACCTCCAAATACACTTCGTCTTGTTTATTAAAATATATCATTTTTTCATAGGTTTTATCAATATAAAAAAAAACATGAACGTTGATAATGAAAACATAAACTTAAACTCTAAAGCATTAAAAAAAATCTAGCGATTTTTAAATATCATTTTGAAATACGCTAAATTACTCAAGGTAAGCTAGAAAAGTATGAAAATTCAATAATGGGTGAAAAAGAAGGAAATTCTATGTGGTCCAAAGTTTAAGTTGAGTTCTCGGTCATCGATTTACTTGGAATACAATATCTAATTGATTATACACTCTTTAATAAAACTGATATTACCGTTTGTGAAGGAATGTCTGTTATAATTTCCAATCATCAGTATTGTATAATTTCTACCTGACGGATTTTTAAGGCGTCACATCCATCCATCGCCTCCCTACCCACCAGGAGCATCGCTGGGTGATCGGGATCCGACGAAAGGAGAACCGATGAAATATTGTCGCTGGGATTGCCGACGGTTGAAGAGACTCCCCGCGGTGAGGCGATGAGAACAGAGACGGATGGCTGGATGGACTGTTGCCTATTCCGAGCACATCTCTCTCCCAATTTGTTCCCGCTCCTCCTCAACATTTCCACTCCGCAGTCCGTGTAATTAAACTTGTGCCGTCTCAGGAATAATCGACCAATTAATATTGTTACTCGGGAGTCTTCGGCGGGTGGCCGCTTCCAATTCTTCTTCCTGTCCTTCCCTCAAGGATGTGCTCCCCGAGCCAACCCTCACCGCGTCTTCAAATATCCTTCTTTTGTTTCATGTTTTCTTCCATTACGGGCTATATGTTCATTTAATTAAATTAATTTCGAGTTATATAAATACAAAATAATATTTATTTTTTAATTAAATCTTCAATTTTTCAAGGGTATTTTTAATTAATTAATGAAATTAATAATTTCAAGGAAATAACTTATTAAACCCTTTCACTTCCTCTCAATGCTTCAATTCATTTTATTTATTACAACAACATTTCAGGCCAACTTGGCTCATTTTCAATTCAAACATTTTTTTTCTAAAATATTACAATAAATTAAATACAATAAATATCTTTGAAAAAATGTAACAGCAGATACAAGAACAATCTACATAATTCCTAAAAAATCAAGTAATAAATAAAATTTCTACTTACATCCTTATCTTATCCTCACCTTCTTCCAATAATTATTTCATTAATACCTATGAAAAGACCATTCCACTATTTAAAAATACTGCAAATTTAACATTACATCTTAAATAAAACATCTGGTGTGTTCACTCACACGACTTTCCTACATATTTGAGAATAGTTTTTAAATCTTTACATATGATCATGAAGAAACAAAAAAAAATTGAACTAGATTTATTTTCCTTAAAATTGAAGAAAAAGAAAAGATTTGGGTACGGTTTATTTGATAAACTATAGCACTGTAAACCGGCTTAAGGTAGATAGTGTCAAAATTTCATTACTCTCTAATGTTGCTGGTCAAAAACTTTTTGCCATAGCTTAGTATTGTCAAACAATAATTTCTGTTAAAAGTGGAGGAAATAGCGAAGTTTCTTTGATGCGGGCAACATATTTTCTTACTTTCACTTAGTCATCTTTTTTCTCTCATTCATCCCTTTCTGACACCAGGATATGAACCCGTAATCGTACATTGGAAATTGAATAACTGTAACTTCGCTAATAGTTGTCCAAAATGAACGATTTTTATATAGTTTTGTAGGGAATTTCAGTACCTTTAATAGAATAAGCTGTATCATCGCTAAAACTGGTTTGATTCTGATGATTTTTCTTTTGTTTTGTAAAAGGTAATTTAATTACCTTTCAAAAGTTTTATTATGAATTTTACCGTATAATATACACTTAGGGAGTTGGACCCCATAACATTTTTCTTTTCTTTATAACTTTTTTTCCTGAATTTTCTCGGGAATTTATTTTCTTTGCTATTCTTTATTTCTGCAGGTTATCAGTACCTTTAATAGAATAAGCTGTATCATCGCTAAAACTGGTTCGATTCTGATGATTTTTCTTTTGTTTTGTAAAAGGTAATTTAATTACCTTTCAAAAGTTTTATTATGAATTTTACCGTATAATATATACTTAGGGAGTTGGGCCCCATAACATTTTTCTTTTCTTTATAACTTTTTTTCCTGAATTTTCTCGGGAATTTATTTTCTTTGCTATTCTTTATTTCTGCAGGTTTTCAGTACCTTTAATAGAATAAGCTGTATCATCGCTAAAACTGGTTCGATTCTGATGATTTTTCTTTTGTTTTGTAAAAGGTAATTTAATTACCTTTCAAAAGTTTTATTATGAATTTTACCGTATAATATATACTTAGGGAGTTGGGCCCCATAACATTTTTCTTTTCTTTATAACTTTTTTTCCTGAATTTTCTCGGGAATTTATTTTCTTTGTTATTCTTTATTTCTGCAGGTTTTTAGTATTAATTTTATATTGATTTATTTAATGTATTGTAATATTTTAGATAAAAAGTTCGACTTGAAAATGGGCCAAGTTGCCTGAAATGTTGTTGTAATAAATAAAATGAATTGAAGCATTGAGAGGAGGTGAAAGGGTTTAATAAGTTATTTCCTTGAAATTATTAATTTTATTAATTACAAAATAATGTTTTTCCTACCTTCTCTATAAAAATGTTTGTCCTCAGTATCAAAAACATGCGACTCACGACTTACGTTTCAGACATTAAAGAAATAATTTGGTTTTGTATCTGTTTGTCGGTCTGCACTCTATACCATTAATTCGATTTTAATAACAATTTTAAGAGTTGGTCACTTATCGATTTCGGCAAATTGCGTCCGCTACGTTCGGTCACTCACGCTTATATGTATTTCCTTATGCAACTATTTATTTCGAAAACGGCTGGTTCTATTTGGTTTGTAAGTTGAAGAAAGTTAGGGATTTATAAAAAATTGTACTGTATCAAGTTTATTTAATTCCATCCACTATTTCTGCATACGTATGCTCAAACTCATAGCTATGCTTGTTTTTTACGATACAGAAAAGATTCGCATGGCTAATGTTAGTGCGAAAGATCGTATGTAACAATTTTACATATTTATTCGATTTGAACAAAAATTGACATTTTATAGTCTGCAACTGCTTGAGGTAGTCTGCTAAATAGAAAAACAGCAGAGGGTAATAAAATATAAATTTATTACGCTTGGTTAGGAATCGGTTTTATTAAAGATTAAAGACTTAAAAGACAGGAACTTAACAGACGATATGGCCAGCTATATAGACTACTGAATAGAAAATCTAAAATTTAGGGTGAAAACAAATTACTGATCTACAAGACAATACTGAAACCTTGATCTTATCCCAACCAAAATTCCAAATTTCACCTTTCCCATCACACAAATCCCTTTGGTTATTACTTAATTTATTTATATTTCTATATATACGGTATGAATGTACTCTCCGAACTCTATTATAAGAGTCCTTAACTGAGACAGATTGTAATATTTCTTAATAAAATGTTAAAAAAGAAAAAAAAAATTAAAGATTATCTCTTGCATTTCAATCAAATTTAGTTGAGTGTAGTAAAATACATAAATATTAAATTAAGATATTGTATAATTATAACCACTAAAGTTGACAGTGTTTATAATTTAAATATAAAACACACATGTTATTTAGGAAGGCATAATTCGGATCGGTTTTAAAGTAAAAAAAAAATATGATATTTCTGTTTTAATGAATAAAATTATATAAATTTTAAACAATAATTCAAGTCAAATATATATTTTATTTCAGATTATAGTTTATCCAAATTATTTAATTCGTAGCAATTACGTTTTTGTGGCATTATTTCGAATTAAAAAAAAAACATTAAAACTCAATTGGTTTAATATAATTTAGGTAAATTCAAAAATCATATATGCCGAGTAGATCAATTCAATTAACATGCTTAAAGTGTTTCGCTCAGTCAGAAAATATTCAATTAACAGGCAGATTGGTATCTACGTTACTGGCTACTTAAGGCATGCGGTTACCGGCTGTGAACGCACCATGCTCTCACATCAAACACTAATTAAAATATTTTAATTTATTCCCAGCAATGTTATATAAGGTTTATTCATTTATTTTTCCGCTGTATTTATTTTGTTTTTACCTGTTTTGTTTTTTCATCTGGTTCAACGCCCTCATGTACTTGAACATATTCATGAAAACGACCCAGTAAGCTATCTATTTATTTTACGTTATGCGAATAAATTCATGTTTTATTTTTTTGGACTACATTTTATTATATAGAAAAATTAAGTACGTACAATATTTGAATTCATAAATGATTATTAAAACTTTTTTTTCCAAAAGTAAACCTTCCTTAACAATTTCCTTTAGTCATTTCCATTAAACGTCGATGCCAGTTGATGGACTCTTAATCCCTTTCTCTTCTAGTATTTTTTTTTATCTCCATCTTTTATTGATTTTATTGTGATTGTTTTATTTTATAATAAATAAATACATTCTCGCCGATCATCACCAGATGTCATAATTCTTAATAATTCACCAGTGTCAGCTACATATGTCATAATTCTTAATATTTTTAAAGTATTTATTCCAAAAAGAAATATTTAAAAAAATAATCTTCTAGGATTTTCCTCAATGCTCCCTACTTTGTATCAAATAAAATCATCCATAACGACCTTTATGTACCATATGTTTCCGATTTAGCTCAATCCAGATACCTATCCTTCCAAAATAAAGTTCCCAAACCCTCTTGTTTCCAACCTTGCTTCATCTTCTATTCCTGATAACCCTCCGAGGCGTCTGAAAAGAAGATGGCCTCGGGACGTTCTAATATAGAAATATAATTGGAGTGGCAGCAATGGGTAGTTTCTCTTCATGTCGTACACGTCATGTTACTTGTTTCATATTTACTTGTTTTATTTTATCATTTAATATAATTGTAAATTTCAATAATAAAAATTAAAAAAACAAAACAATCTTCTAGTTTTTTGTGAACAAGAAATAAATTTAATTAATATTGATTGAAACGTGTAAAATCCCTATAGATTTCTTTAATTAGGAAAGTAGATTAAAAAAAATACTTGTAATGAATCACATGTATACATCGAAATGTTTACAGTAATCTTTCTATATCTGAAAAATCCAAGTATTTAGAAGTAATGAAGACGAATTCTGGCAGTTCTATGAGGTTGGAAGGATGCTTTCTTAAAATCTTTACAATAGATGTTCTTCTTAATAAGTGGCTTGACTTAACTTAACAAGAAGTGGATCTATCCATCCTATCGCCGCCAGTACTTCCTAGCTACCTTTATTTACCAGATCATTAGAACTCATCGACCCATAGCTTAGAATTTAAATACTCTATCCAATCCCGTCCTACTAGATCTCGCACTTCCAACCTCTATCCCCTTCCTCACCGAACTGTTTCGTTTGACAAATCATTTGCAATTCAAGCCGCCTCCTTCTGGAATTCCATTCCTACTGATATTCGGCACGCACAATCAGTTTCCTCTTTCAAACCTCTCCTGTTTAAACAGCTACTCCTCTCTCAATCCGCCTGATCAGGAAATATACCTAAGAGAGCTATCTAAGTATCTCCAGAAA